AGACATAGAAATTTTCTAGCTCCTTCCCTTCCCTTCATTGTAATCTGTTGACTCAATGTACTCCCAGAGGGGGGTGAATTGGAGTTCCAAAACTTTTCCCCTTTTTCAACCACAAAACCCAAATTAAGGAGAGTAGAGAAGAAGAGTTTGCACGATAAATTTATAGAGGTTCGGTTCAACTACTTGGAGCTTAATCCTCTACCTTGATTTCACTAACCAAAGATTTCCTCCACACTCTTCACTAAGAAAAACAAAGGTGGCTTAAAGGAGCAACTCAATCCTTTTACAACAAGATGAGTATTTCTCTCAAACCTCACCCCTTTACAATGTAAGGCCCACAAATCCTCTCAATAGATCACTCTTGAAGGAATCAACACACCCCCAAGATCACTCACTAAAAGCACAAGAAGAGGATTACAAGCAATGATCACTCAAAAATCAAAAACTCAAGTTAAAGCTCAAGTAGGTAGGTAAAGATATTCAATGCAATATTCTCTAACCCTATTCAGATCTGTTACAAACCATATTTATACCCCCTTGCTCGAAAATAGCCGTTACTAGCCGTTGGAGGTCATTTAATGCTCTGCAGGACTCAAAAGCCGAGTTGCAGGATTGTCAGGAGAGCCGGCTCTACAGAGCCGGCTTATACTTCCAGAGCCGGTTATCCAGGTTTGTAGACCATTCTATTTTCCTCGAGAGCCGGCTGCAAAACTTTGAGCCGGCTTTGAAACTCCGATTTTAAATACATTAAATAATCTTCAAATAACTCAACCGTTGTGCATTAAATGCACTCTCACAGCCGACTGCAAAGTTGGAGCCGGCTTTGCGTCCTTTCTCCGCGCACGCCAAACGACGATCTTCAAATTTTTGCCTGTAGAGCCGACTTCAGCTTCCAGAGCCAGCTCTCTGCACTTCCATTTCACCAGAGTCGACTGCAGCTTTCAAGAGCCGGCTTACTGCACATTTTGAATCCTTTTGGTCTATTTTTAGTGCAATCCAAGTTTACTTGCAATCTTTTAACAACTTAACTACACACTTAAATAAACCAATTAGTCACTCAAATGTGTTTTGTAATCATCAAAATCATAGGTACAACATAATCAAGTTCATCACTAAATGAAGTAACATCCTCTATATATTTGTCCCTTGAATATTCACTAGAAGCACCAAAACCATACATATCAGTCTTTGTTCTATCTTCTCGCATGTATCCCCATTCTTCATCATTTGGACCCAACTTCACATCAGATTGCTAATGACTTTAATTCTCCTAGAAAAGTTGGATCCAGATTCAGGTCTTCTATAATCAAGTGGTTTGGTTTGGGTCTTTATAACGTCATAATTCTCAATGGAAATTCCAAAATTTGACGATGTCTTCATAGCTTCACCTCTACTCCCATCTTTCCTACCACCTAATTGACCGAGGCCTTCCATTCTCATTCCTTTCTCGACCATGCCTCGGCAACTCCCAGTCTCTACCACGGTCATAAATGATCTCAACATCTTTTGACTCTTTATCACTGTTACTCAGTTGCCTTCGTTTCCAATTTTCTTTTGAACCTTCTCTATCTCTAGCTTTATCACTCCAGTTATCACCTTTGCTTTTCAATCTATCATCCCTGTGGCCATCCTTTTCTAGTTCTTTCTGCGAGACATCAAGACTTCTTTCATAATCCGTATCAGGGTGCTCTGATTCTTGACGATGCCTTCTAGTCTGCTCTAGGGTCCTTGACCCGTTTGTGTGCCATACTTCTCTTTGTGCTTTTATCCCTTGTCCATATACTTGCATTATCATCCATATTGGAAGTCCGTTCCTGGCTATCAGCAACATCATGACCAGCGGGAGTTCTTTGCTGTTCATGCTTCTCATTTTTTTCCCTACTGATTCTTTCTTCGTGATTAACTAGACTACTCATATTGTCTTCTCCAAAAGCTTCTGTCATGCCTTTACTCTAACTCGATCTCCTTAGCATCAACTCTTCCCTCTTCCCTACTACTGGATTTGACACCCTTACCATTATTTGAATCCAGTTCCCTGCTTTTACTCTCACTGGCTTCATTTCTATAGATGCACTTCTCACTCTACCATTCTCATACTTGGAATCAGAAGCATTTCCACTTCTTGAGTCAGCCCTTTCATAGTGATTATCTTCATCTTTTTTTATGGCATCTGCTTCATCCCATCTTTTTCTTGAGCTTCTTGCTGAGTCAGAAGAACCATGACCTTTGTCACGGTTGCTTTCTCTCCTTTCTGAATATCTAGACTCTCTATCAGCCAACTTGTCAAACTCTCCATTATGGAACCTCTTCTTCGCTTTTACCTCCACAAGAACTTTCATGCTCTGAGAACTTTGAAGTTGTTTTCCTTCTCTCGCTTTCATCAGCCCGACCATGCCTTCTGCTTCCTGTTTTATCTCCACTTTCTTGCCTTTTCTCAAGATCTCCATCTTGGTACCAACTAATCAATATTTCCATGGACCTCTCTTCTTTCCTTTTTATCATCTGCTTAGAACGTAGTTCCTTTCTCGTGTCATAATCATCTTCATCAATTTCTGCTCTACTTAAGCCACTTGACCTCTTACGGCTCTTATTTCTGTACCCAGAACTTCTCCGTCTTCCATTGTCTTCCAACACATCAGCCTTTTCTCCATTGCTAGGCTCTCTAGGTTTGCTTGACCTATGCTTCCTCTTATCACTACCTTCCCATTCTTCATCATCCCCTGCCCTATCACTTTTCACGTCTGAACTATCATCTCTCTCCCGTCTCCCATAGCTCTTAACGTGCTCAGGTGAATCCATCAAAAACCCTCAAACCCTTAATTCTTCTACGTTTTCTACCAAATACCGGATGCTTTGATTTGCCTTATTTCTCTACAAACTGACCACCGCAAAATCTAAAAGCAAAGAATTAAATGAGTCAATAAGAAAACTCTAATCCAATAACCAATCCAAAGTATCAAAAACTTTTCCCCTTTTTCTTAAAGAACCCAAAAAATCTAAAGTTCAGAATTTTCAAGTTTCAAAATCCTCCGCCATTGTTACATTTTTGGAATTAAAACTTGCAGTACTACACAAATATAAGCAAAAAGCTCTCAAGATAATAATTCATTATACAAATCAAACGATAATAATTAGAGCAACCCATAGATTACTGTTTACACCTAAAAATAAATCAATTGGATGAGATCATGTGTCAAGAGTAGACCTGATCTTTAAGAAGAGTCATTAAGTTGAATTAGGTTGGATTCGGTTGGATTGGGCTAGACTAGCTTAGATTTTAATGGCCCAGACGGAATTTTAAAGAGGCTGGATTTTAGGTGACAAAAGATAAGGTAATTTTTAGTAGTTGAGTTTGATCTAAATTAGGAAGTTGAGGGTTTTTAGGAGAAGGATGTGACTAGGGTTTTATTGAAGATAAGATTGAATAAAAAACTGTCAATTGCCAAACAACTGCCCAGACATAAAGTCCTCACTACTCGTTCATGGTGGGAGAGAGCCGAAAAACATGGAGGAGATTTCCCGACATCAAAGAAAAGGAAAATAGGAGGAAAATATCAAACAAACGGCCTACCCTACAGAAACTGCCCAGTCAGTGGCGGAGCCAGGGGGGTGCGAGGAGTGGCGCTCGCCCCCCCTGAAATTTGGAAAATCTTGCAATTAGTTTATGTGAAAAATTATCTAGCCTCCCCTGAACTTTGAAAATTTTAGTATTTTGTCCCCGCCGAAAAATTTTTTTGCCTCTGCCCCTGTGCCCAGTGCATATGTTTTTTGAGCTTTCAGACTTTTTCTTCTAGATTTCAACATAATTTCTAGATTAGTTTGCAAGATTTGTTCTTGTTCATAACTTTAGTTTAGGTTTTTCCATCCTTGTTCATATTTTCCCTCAAATATTGCAACTTCGTTAGTTTTTAAGCATTTGGAAGCAGATCAGCCTTGAGAACTGGTCTGTCCTGTTGATTTAGTTAGTTTTTTCTTTCTCTTATGGATTCATTTATGCTATTTGTTCATGTAAATAGGTTGAATACTTTCTGCTTTCTTTCTTTTGTTTTTGTGTAATTCCTAAACTTGCGGTTTATTTAATTTCAATTCCGAGATTAATATTTAATTTTACAAGTTTCCAGACTTTGATTATTTTGTAGATTCTCCTTTAGATTTAATTATCAAGTAGTTCAATTATTTTTATTTGAAATATGTGAGTAATTAGTTTTAATCGTTATGGATCGTGAAGTTAAAATTAGTATTTGTAATCTTGCACAGTCTGTTGTCTACGAGTTTATTTTTATGGCATGTTATTCTCTTTTATTTATTTTGTGTTAGATTAATTGCCTTAAGATATTGCATTTATTTTAAGATTTGTAGCTTTTATTACACTTTTGTTGTTGTAAAATCCTTGGAGGTGTCCAAGTTAATTATTAATCCATTTTGCAGAACTTCACCCTCTGTTTTGCAACATCGTCTGGGGCGCAGTTTATTTTACAGACATTCTTTCTAGCCATTCTTTTGGAGGTCGATTGTTGGAAAAAAGAAAGGTTGTCTGGAAAATTTTGTTTTCTTGTTTTTAGACAAAGCAAATGGCATGCCTTATTCCCAAACTCACATGGTTAAAACCGGTTAAAGATTTTTTGGGAAACAATTACTAAATAGTTTGAAATTAACTTAAATGATTATTTTTTTAAGTACCCTAATCTACAGTGTAATAGTTGTTTAGTTTGAATAAAGGGGATAAATTTTCTTGTTTGGAAGAAAGGGAGACGGAAGAGAGGAGTTTCTCTTTAATTTATTTTCTAATTTCAATATAATGAAATGAGAAAAATGAGCAGGAGAGGAAAGTTTTATAAATTAATAAAATCAATACAATCAAATTCACTTATTTTTTTATGAACCCAAATAATAACGACTTTTATTTTTTACCTTGTGGAATCTATCCCCTTTATTTGCGAAGATCTACCTAAGAGTATGATTGTGCCTGTGCATTGCTTGTCAGAAATAAAATAAAAAATAATAACGTTACTAAAGAGTTTCCAAATCAACAATAACAAATTTTTATTTTGCAAAACCAATGTGAAGAAAATAATTATAATCCTTTTGATATCATATTTGCATCTTGGGTAGAGAGTTGACCCAGATTCGACATTTCTTTTACAACAAGGTTTCTTATTCTATTGATGTTCATGAAACACAGATACAAATGCTCCTCCAACTCATCAAGTTGTTGGCTAAAGCTTGCATCACTCTTCTTCAGCTGTCGCACCACTTCAGAGCTAGTTTGGAGTCTATCCTCTCCACGCTCAAGCCAAAACCTCACCATGGCTCTCATGTGTTCTAGCTCATCACTAAGTCGAGCCACAAGTCGACTTGTAGTTTCTAAATCTCTGCTTAATATATAAGTCCCTTTAGCAGCTGTGTCAAGCTGAGCAGATACCCTAACCAGCCTTTTCATTGAAGCCAATTCGAAGGAAGCCATAATGAGACCCGGCGTGGCTACTAGTAATGCTAGGGCATGGGATGCAACAATCACTGTTAACGAAGTAGTTAGGACTACTAGAAATATACCTGAGCTATGTTGTAGTCTATTTATCAATCGAAGTTTGGCTCGAGACTTATCACGGCTTGACTCGAGGCGCTTGAGTAATTCGGAGCTGCTAATTTGGATGGATTGAAGCCGGCATGAAGATGGGTCGGATAATGAAAACGGGTTACGAACATTGGATAGTTGGGTCAGGTGAGTTATGATACCCGGTATGGTATTTTCATTTGAGAATTCGACATTCTCAAGGAACGGCAAGGATTTCTTGAAAGCATGATATCTAACACGTGTACGGTCTACGTCTTTTAGCAATAAGCCACATAGGATGGAAGCATTTGCAGTTTGGGAGAAATAATCCCACAAAAGATTATGTACAGCGGGTCGGTGTTGGGTCAAGGAAAGCATCCGGGAAACCGTGGGTTGATCCGGATCCAAGAGATGCTCCACAAAAAGCCGGTATGAAGCAAGCCGATCGGCGGCGGTGGACTCAGCCGGACTTATACACGTGGCGGAATTTTTATGGGATATGGCGAGGACACGTGTCCAAAACTGATTGTATGATTCTGTCCTGAAGGCGTTGGCATATTCCTCCCGTACATCTACACCGGTGGCGGCGGGCGTGATGGAGTTTCCGCCGGAGGCTGCGAAACAGCAACAAAAATTAAGGTATTGTTCATTTAGAAATTTTATACAAAATTTTCTCTTATTGCTATGGTTGGTCCCCTAAAATATTTATACATTCTAAGATATGATCCCTTAAGATTAAATTTCTAGTTTATCCCTTCCCTCGCTTGAATTTACCATATGATGATAATAACAGTGGTGATGGAGCCAGAAAATAATTTTAGGGGTGTAAAATTTTGATTTTATGTGTTAATTTGAAAAATAAAAAAATTAAATTACATTTTTTAGTATAATAAATTAATAATAGTAGATGACGTAGTATAAATATGATTAATTGAAAGATAAAAATAAACACATATTAAGTAGAGAATATATACTATGAACAAAGAAATAGAGAGTAAAGATATTAATGGAAACAAGCACTTGTTAAGATTATTAAAATTGTGCTATAAAATTAATTCAATTTGATTTGATAATTAAAAATAATTAATAATTAATAAAATAATTGTCAATAACTTAAATAATTCAGTGATCATTTCTTTTCACTGAAAATAAAAGATCATGAATTCAAGTCACATAATATATGAGTGATATGAGATAAAGGATGAGAGATGAGAGATGAGATAAGGGATGAGATAAGGGATGAGAGATGATTGCCTCTCATTATATGACCAAGATAAAAAAAAATTAATAAAATAATATATATTTATTATTTAATAATTTAAAATTAATTTATAAACTGGTATTTTTAAATATACTAATTATATATTAAAAAAAACTAAAAATGTCACTCAAATTTAATACAATTTTGGTGTAATCATAACCCCACGTATATAAAATTAAGTGATAATAAACATTTTTTTATTAATTAATTTTTACCTTTTCTCATATTCAACGTTTTCTTTATTTTTCCTATCATTCTTTTTATCCTTAAAAATATTTTAAACAAAGCAAATGTTAAAAAAATGATTAAAATAATATAAAATAAATAAGTATAAAAATAATAAAAATAAAACAGAAAGGACCGAACTAAATTTTTTACAAAAGTTTAGCGGGCTTATGCCAGGCCCCTTGGCTCCACCAGTGTGGATAATAATCGAAGTAACTCGCATATTATTATACAATGATGTGCTTTTGATCAGATTATCCTACTCTCACTAAAAAAAAAAGTGTAATAAAAATGGGGAAACAATAAAGTGGTCTAATTAAAGAAGATACGTACCAGTATTCGAAAGAAAATTTTTAATGCTAGCACAGAATCCTTTCTTCATTAATTTGGATGCTTTGTTATGTGGAAAATTTCTGGAAAAAAAAAAAGGAATTGGGTTAAGAATTTACATGATAGAACCTTTGATTTAACAAGAATGAGCTGAAGAAACAATGTACCTAGATGGAGCTTCAATGAATGCAAGATGAGCTATTTATATACAATAAAAAAACCATATATTTTGCTTGTGCTTGCAAGAAAAAGGCGATGCAAACACTGTCTTAATGTAGAAGTGAAGGATTGTCTGAAATATACTTACAAGGAAAATCTCACGTTTTTCTTCACATCACGGGCAAGAAAACTAATAGCAGGCTGGACTTCAACAAGAATTATGGTCCTAGACCTTAAGTCTTTAACAAAGAGCCTAATAGATGAGAATGTGGGTCTGTTGGGTTCATTTCTCATGGATGTTTAAGCTACTAATTAACCCATAGGCTCATTGTCCATATACTAATTCCTTGTTCAGTGAGATCCTACATTATTCTAAACTCCAAAGAGACATAATTGTTTTTTGAACAAGGAAATTATATATACACCCCCTCCATACATACCCTCCGTTACACACTCACTCTCTCTCCGTTTCTTCCATTAATTGGAAAGGTATTTAGCAGCTCTCCTCTTCACCCAGCAGTAGTTCTTTGATTTTCAACCTTCTTCCTTCTTTTCCCTCCTCCTATTTTCTTTTTCTTCTTCTTTCCCTCCCCCCTCCTTGATTTGTTGAAGGAGAACCCAAATAGAGAGAGAGAGAGAGAGAGAGAGAGAGAGAGAGAGAGAGAGAAAAAAAAGAGCAAGAAGGAAAAAGGAAGAAGATAATGAATTTTTGTTAGAATTTTTATAAATTTAATAGTATAGTGTGTTGTTTGGTTGATAAGAAAATTAAAAACTTTCCTCTAACATTTCAAACCCAACTCCATGTCTAAAAGAGAGAAAAGGTCAATCAAAACAACAAGAGGTAGAAAGGAAAGCAGAGATAAGGAGAAAGGAAAGTGGGGAGAGTAAAGGAAAGCAGAGATAAGGAGAAAGGAAAGCGGGGAGAGTAAGAAAAGGTTGGACTGGTGCGTTCGGAGTTAACGAATTAAGTAACAGAAAGTGAATGTATGTGACGAAATGTGTGATGGGAGAAAGTAAATGTATCATGATCCTTTTAAACATGATTCGGGCAGAGGAAAAAAATTGATATAATTATAATATTATATAAAATTATAAATTTATAATAGTAATATGATATTAAAATTATAAATTTATAATAATAATATGATATTAAAAAAATGCATATATTTTTGGAGTATCAAACCACAAAAAGCAGTGATTTATATGTTATAATAAAATGCCTTGAGTAGTGGGACTTGGCCAATTTTTAAAATGCCTTGATGGGACAAAGTAATATCTGCCCCGAGTGGGTATCAACAAGGGCATGAGTATGAACTAAAAGTGGTTTATACGATTTTAAATTCCACTTGTAACTATATTTTAATTGTAAATATATTGGAGTGAGTAAGAAAATAAGAAATTATAGATATATAGCTAAAATAAATAAAGATATTGTAATTGCACCAAACCAAAAGTCCTTCTTCAATCCGCGTCTACACTCCGAAATGACCTGCAAAGCCCCGAGGTGGAACTCGGGGTAGACATTCCGATGCTTAAGTCAGCAATAATCGGGACTACCTTTAGGGCGGAGATAAAAAGAGCTTAAGGTTGGTTTCAATTACCTTTTGACGTGGCCCGGGGGGTATTTATAGGATCCAATGAGGAACCCACGTGGCATGCCAAGCAAGATAATCGGAGCCTAACGTGTCTATCCAGACGATTATTCTGGGATTGGGAATTTGAGAGGTATTCAGATGCACGGATGTCCACCATACTTGCTGTGCCACTCATCATAGGGAATCAGGTGCAGGCATGTTTATTGTCATTGTCATGCAGCTATTTGAGCGGGAAGCTTTGGATTTATTCCTCACTTCAGTCATAAAGGAATTACTGTAGCAGTCCGAGGCTTGGCACCTCGGACCTGTCCTTACACTATTCCCCCCTCGAAGTCATTCACTTGTGAATGATGTTGCTGGGGATAATGAGGGGAGTGTATGAACAAAGAGAATACGAATAAGTCATGGAAGTATAAGGAAGAAAGCTGTAACTTAAATTTAGATATAGTCGTAGCTAATAATGAAATATGTAACAGTGGGTCATACTGGGGTGCCTTAAATAGAACATGACTGGAGTGATCATGGCCGTGGCCGTGGTGGAAATAATGACCAGAGTCATAATGGCCGGAGCCGTAACAAAATATGATGACCGGAGTCATAATGGCCGGAGCCGAGGTAGAGTAAGTGACATGTAGTCACAGTAACTAGGACCGAAGTAGAACATGTGTCTCTGTAACCAGAGTCGAAGTAAAACACTATGCCCATTAAAAAATGTAATTGTAAAAGTAAACAGAAGTGCTGAGCTTGGCTTGAGTATAAAGATGGGAGTCAAAATGGCCGGAGCCATAATATAATGACCGGAGTCATAATGGCCGGAGCCGAAATAAAATGTGTGATATTGGATCACTGTGGCCGAAGCCGATGTGAAATGTAATGCATGATTATTGTGGTCGGAGCCGAGGTGAAACACTTGCAAAATTAAGAATATGCAAAAGTGAACAAAGGTGTTGAAATGGGCGTAATTGGGCCCGTCTGAAAAGTCTGACAGTTGTCCTTGGGATGACATGTGCAATAAATGCAGCCATAAAAAGATAACTGCAACAGTTAAATGGGCAAATTTTAAAAAATGAACCGTCGAATTCAAAATGGTGCCGTTTGGGGTTGGCCGTTGAATTCCAAACGGTGTTAATAGTAACCGTAAGATTAAATGAATCTCAACCATTGAGATCTAATTTTGCCCAGAGGTATAAATAAGCATTTTTTCTGCAGAGAGAGGTTTACTTGCATTTCTTTTTTTGCAAAACTTCTGCGAAAAGCTTTATTGTGCATTTCCTGTGCGTGAACTGCAGCATAATCTGGGGATCTCTACATCAAGTCTTTCGAAACCGAAATTAGGTAATGTATACGAACTTCTGATTTTGAGTTAATCGAAATGTCTCTCTTCTTCCTCCCTTTCTGTGGCTGATTTAGGGTTCTTTGAAGGAAGTTAGGGTTAGAGGTGAGAAGGATTTTGAACGTGCAACAGAGGGTTTTCTCTCCCTCTTTGTTTTTTAAGATCCTGACTTATTCCTCCCCTCGACTTCGTGCAAAGTTTGAGAAAATGTCCTCAGAAGGAACAGTAAGTATAATAGGGAGTGAGGTGATGCCCCTAGACTATGGGAGCATGGACTCAAAGAGTAGTCCATCGCCATCTAGTTCGGAGAAGACGGTGGAGGGGGTGAGAGGAGATGAGGTGATAGAGGTGGGGGGGGAAGAGGTGGCAGAGGTTGGGGGCAATGAGGTGGTAGAGGTTGGGGGAGATAGCATACCCATAACCGTAGTAGAAGTAGAAGGTAGAGGAGAAAGGGACTATGATGTAAATGCAGAGATAGTGGAGGAAGTAAAACAGTATAGATCCGAACTAAGGACCAAGGATAGCCTAGGTCACTTAGTGGAAAATTACGAGATCTCGTCTCGAGTGTTAGTTAGACCAGCCGGGGTAGAGAAGAGAGCGTGTTCTGCTCCTCGGGATCATTGGATGCCCATATATTCCCACTATCTGATAGCGGGATTAAGGTTTCCAATTCATGAGTTGCTAGTAGGTTTGTTGTTAGATTATAATATAGGGTTGACACAATTAGTCTCCAACGTTATGAGGGTAATAATATGATTTTTAGTCTATTTCCAAGCTTAGGGGGTTAATGTGCCAACCGTAAATATGTTTAAGTATTTTTTTGTTTTAAAAGGGGGTAGTATGAGGGATAAGGGGTGGTATTATTTAACCCCTAGGGTAGCTAATAAGGAGAGTAGGTCTTTGTTTATTGCAGGTCTTTCATCCATTAAAGGATGAAAGGAAAAATTCTTTTTTGCAGATGATACAGAGTGGGAGAGGGGGGATGCCGAGGTGAGGGAGTTAGCATCCTGGAAGGCCAAAAAAGCCAACCAGAATAGGTTTAATTTAAACGAGGATGAGGAGGAAGAAGTGAGGAAGTTGGTGAGGAAGGGGGGGAATTATTAAACATTATGGATCTCACCAGTGCACAATGCATAGAAGCTGCTGAGCTCTATGGGCCAAGTGCTTTAAGTGAAGGTTGGTTTAGTTCTGCATTGTAATACTGAATGTAGAGTATAGAACTATGATTAACATTGTATGTTCTTGCTTTGCAGTTGAAATGGATCAATTTTTGAACACTGCTGGAGGAGTGGCTATCCCTAAGAAGCCAAGGAAGAAGTCAAAGACTTTAACCAAGCAAGTGGATGAGGGGAGGGCCAGAAAAGAGGTAATGCCCGCGACTTTAGCTGAGACAGAGGAGGAGGCGCCGCAGCTGAAGAGGAAGGGTTGGGAGGAGAGGAGGGCACTGCAGAAGAAGAAGAAGGTGGTGAAGGAGGAGGAGAGGGGGAATGAGGTACCTCAATTCGTACCTCAGCCTCCTCCTACTGAGCTGGGGCCTGAGCTCAGATAGTTGGAGGAGGGGGCTGAGGTACGAGCTCCTGGTAAGGGAAAGGGCCCTGTTCCCCCAGTGGCGTCTCAAAGCAGCCTGTTCGAACCTAAGAACATGACAGGGGCTAGGTGGTTCATCAACAGCACCTTCCCCGAAGTGGACAAACGCAACGCGCGGGATGAGGCTCTAAGATATGGCGGAGCATCTGTTGTGAAGCACGTTTTAGAGGTATGTAACATTATTGGTGTTGTTTATTTAATATGTTTCCTCTTTTTTCCTTTCTCTTTTAACTTCTGCAGTGATTTGCAGAGCGCGAGCTGGGTGAATGGTCTAGCCCAGGAGTTCATGAATAGCATGAGGGAGCGCTCACTCTTGCAGAGGCAGTGTGACCAGCTGTAGAGGTAGTGTGACCAGTTGCAGAAGGAGAAGGAGGAGCTGGAGAAGAAAAATAAAGAACTGCAAGAGTCGCTAAATGAGGTGGTTCCAACTGTGAAGCAGTTGGAACAGGAGAGGGCTTCTTTGAGCACCAAGCTCGTCTTTGAGGAGAGCAAACGAAGGATCTCTGAAAGCGAGCGTGAGACTCAGGCACAAGAAATAAAGCTGATGAAGGAGGCTTTCGTGGAGCTGAAGGAGAATGTGCAGACCTTGGTGCACAATGGGATGAAGAAGCACATCAGCAACTTCATCAGCTCCAGCTCATTTGACAACATCGTCAACTTGTACTGGCTGCCTACTGCCATCATTGCGTTCACAGACTACAAGAAGAAGGCGAAGGCAGAATATCTCGAAGTGGATATTACAAAGATCACCTTCGGAGAGCAAGAAGAAGGAGTGGAGGAAGACGGTGAGAGCATGTCAGCAGACTTCCGTCCTCAGATCAAACTGAGGTGGGAGCATGATGCAAACGGACGTGCTGTTTTCCCTCCGCAGTTCGACTTTGAGTTCGTTGCAGTGGAGGAAGAAGGGGCAGAGGTAGAGGAAGACGAGGTGGAGGCAGGAGTAGAGGGAGCTGAAGTGGATGAGAGCCAACCAGTTCCAGAAGTGGAGATTCATCCAGTTCCTTCCGACGATGAGCAGCCTCCTTTGCCAGACGAGCAGCAGCCAACACAGATATATATCTATATATATATATGAGACAAAGTAATGGTCCATAATTATGATTGTGT